AAAAAAATCGAATTTATATCTATATTAGCATTCTTTATCATTTATAATTACTAGATATGTTTTAAAATGCAATTTAAAGCATTTTTGGTTTCGATCATAGTAGGCTATTTTCAAAAAAATATCGATTTTATATCTATATTAGCATTCTTTATCATTTATAATTACTAGATATGTTTTAAAATGCAATTTAAAGCATTTTTGGTTTCGATCATAGTAGGCTATTTTCAAAAAAATATCGATTTTATATCTATATTAGCATTCTTTATCATTTATAATTACTAGATATGTTTTAAAATGCAATTTAAAGCATTTTTGGTTTCGATCATAGTAGGCTATTTTCAAAAAAATATCGATTTTATATCTATATTAGCATTCTTTATCATTAATAATTACTAGATATGTTTTAAAATGCGATTTAAAGCATTTTTGGTTTCAATCATAGTAGGCTATTTTCAAAAAAAAAATCGATTTTATATCTATATTAGCATTCTTTATCATTAATAATTACTAGATATGTTTTAAAATGCGATTTAAAGCATTTTTGGTTTCAATCATAGTAGGCTATTTTCAAAAAAAAAATCGATTTTATATCTATATTAGCATTCTTTATCATTTATAATTACTAGATATGTTTTAAAATGCAATTTAAAGCATTTTTGGTTTCGATCATAGTAGGCTATTTTCAAAAAAATATCGATTTTATATCTATATTAGCATTCTTTATCATTTATAATTACTAGATATGTTTTAAAATGCAATTTAAAGCATTTTTGGTTTCGATCATAGTAGGCTATTTTCAAAAAAATATCGATTTTATATCTATATTAGCATTCTTTATCATTAATAATTACTAGATATGTTTTAAAATGCGATTTAAAGCATTTTTGGTTTCAATCATAGTAGGCTATTTTCAAAAAAAAAATCGATTTTATATCTATATTAGCATTCTTTATCATTTATAATTACTAGATATGTTTTAAAATGCAATTTAAAGCATTTTTGGTTTCGATCATAGTAGGCTATTTTCAAAAAAATATCGATTTTAAATCTATATTTGCATTCTTTATCATTTATAATTACTAGATATGTTTTAAAATGCAATTTAAAGCATTTTTGGTTTCGATCAAAGTAGGCTATTTTCAAAAAAATATCGATTTTAAATCTATATTAGCATTCTTTGTCATTTATAAAAACTAGATATGTTTTAAAATGCGATTTAAAGCATTTTTGGTTTCAATCATAGTAGGCTATTTTCAAAAAAAATCGATTTTATATCTATATTAGCATTCTTTATCATTTATAATTACTAGATATGTTTTAAAATGCAATTTAAAGCATTTTTGGTTTCGATCATAGTAGGCTATTTTCAAAAAAATATCTATTTTAAATCTATATAAGCATTCTTTATCATTTATAATTACTAGATATGTTTTAAAATGCAATTTAAAGCATTTTTGGTTTCAATCATAGTAGGCTATTTTCAAAAAAATATCTATTTTAAATCTATATAAGCATTCTTTATCATTTATAATTACTAGATATGTTTTAAAATGCAATTTAAAGCATTTTTGGTTTCGATCATAGTAGGCTATTTTCAAAAAAAAATCGATTTTATATCTATATTAGCATTCTTTATCATTTATAATTACTAGATATGTTTTAAAATGCAATTTAAAGCATTTTTGGTTTCGATCATAGTAGGCTATTTTCAAAAAAATATCGATTTTATATCTATATAAGCATTCTTTATCATTAATAATTACTAGATATGTTTTAAAATGCGATTTAAAGCATTTTTGGTTTCAATCATAGTAGGCTATTTTCAAAAAAATATCTATTTTAAATCTATATAAGCATTCTTTATCATTTATAATTACTAGATATGTTTTAAAATGCGATTTAAAGCATTTTTGGTTTCAATCATAGTAGGCTATTTTCAAAAAAATCGATTTTATATCTATATTGGCATTCTTTATCATTTATAATTACTAGATATGTTTTAAAATGCGATTTAAAGCATTTTTGGTTTCAATCATAGTAGGCTATTTTCAAAAAAATCGATTTTGTATCTATATTGGCATTCTTTATCATTTATAATTACTAGATATGTTTTAAAATGCAATTTAAAGCATTTTTGGTTTCAATCATAGTAGGCTATTTTCAAAAAAATATCGATTTTATATCTATATAAGCATTCTTTATCATTAATAATTACTAGATATGTTTTAAAATGCGATTTAAAGCATTTTTGGTTTCAATCATAGTAGGCTATTTTCAAAAAAAAAAATCGATTTTATATCTATATTAGCATTCTTTATCATTAATAATTACTAGATATGTTTTAAAATGCGATTTAAAGCATTTTTGGTTTCAATCATAGTAGGCTATTTTCAAAAAAATCGATTTTATATCTATATTGGCATTCTTTATCATTTATAATTACTAGATATGTTTTAAAATGCAATTTAAAGCATTTTTGGTTTCGATCATAGTAGGCTATTTTCAAAAAAATATCGATTTTATATCTATATAAGCATTCTTTATCATTAATAATTACTAGATATGTTTTAAAATGCGATTTAAAGCATTTTTGGTTTCAATCATAGTAGGCTATTTTCAAAAAAATATCTATTTTAAATCTATATAAGCATTCTTTATCATTTATAATTACTAGATATGTTTTAAAATGCGATTTAAAGCATTTTTGGTTTCAATCATAGTAGGCTATTTTCAAAAAAATCGATTTTATATCTATATTGGCATTCTTTATCATTTATAATTACTAGATATGTTTTAAAATGCGATTTAAAGCATTTTTGGTTTCAATCATAGTAGGCTATTTTCAAAAAAATCGATTTTGTATCTATATTGGCATTCTTTATCATTTATAATTACTAGATATGTTTTAAAATGCAATTTAAAGCATTTTTGGTTTCAATCATAGTAGGCTATTTTCAAAAAAATATCGATTTTATATCTATATAAGCATTCTTTATCATTAATAATTACTAGATATGTTTTAAAATGCGATTTAAAGCATTTTTGGTTTCAATCATAGTAGGCTATTTTCAAAAAAAAAAATCGATTTTATATCTATATTAGCATTCTTTATCATTAATAATTACTAGATATGTTTTAAAATGCGATTTAAAGCATTTTTGGTTTCAATCATAGTAGGCTATTTTCAAAAAAATCGATTTTATATCTATATTGGCATTCTTTATCATTTATAATTACTAGATATGTTTTAAAATGCAATTTAAAGCATTTTTGGTTTCGATCATAGTAGGCTATTTTCAAAAAAATATCGATTTTATATCTATATAAGCATTCTTTATCATTAATAATTACTAGATATGTTTTAAAATGCGATTTAAAGCATTTTTGGTTTCAATCATAGTAGGCTATTTTCAAAAAAATATCTATTTTAAATCTATATAAGCATTCTTTATCATTTATAATTACTAGATATGTTTTAAAATGCGATTTAAAGCATTTTTGGTTTCAATCATAGTAGGCTATTTTCAAAAAAATATCTATTTTAAATCTATATTTGCATTCTTTATTATTTATAATTACTAGATATGTTTTAAAATGTAATTAAAGCATTTTAACTTCCACGCAAAATTGAGGAACTCCGCTCCATTGCTCTATTGTTTCATTCCACTTCGTTCCGTTCCGCACAGCTCGTCCACTCCCCTTTCTATAGCTAACACTCCCATCAAAAGTATCCTTTCACTGACATTGAAAGCATCTAACAACGTGTTGAAGATGTGATACTTTATTAGATGTTTCACCTTAAAATTTTTTTTGAATAAAACACATATAATGTATTATGTTCTCCAAGGATATATTTTTCAAAATTATCATCTTCGATCTTTTCGCAATCTTTTCGAGAAATTTGACAATTTTTTTGTTATCTAACATAAGTCAAGCGTGGAAGTTCGTGGCTTTCTACGTAAGTCGTGTTTTTTTCAGTTCCACTCCCAAGATCATTCCCTGAACTAGGAAGATTAAACTTGAATAGAGTTTGCTAAATTCAAGTGCCTTTAAATTATTCACAAACCATCAACACAGAACAAAACACATGCAACACTTCAAAACTACTGAGTGATTCAACACATTCCATAAATTCCATCCGGATAGTGACTCCAATTTAAAATAGTTGAAGATATCTTTTATTTTTATAATTCCTTAATTAATTCGCTTTTCAATTAAGCTATAGACGAATGGTAATGTCAAAATAAATTCAATGTCAATTAATGAATTGCTTTATGGATGCTTCCTATGCGTCTATTGATGCTTTTGTAATAATATTTACATAAAGCTGAACTTTGATTGCTTAAACTGAATGTGTATGATGCCTTGGATGTAAAAAAAAATGAGTTTTTGACTGTCAAGGGAAGATCAATTTAAAGGATTTGGAGGAATATTAATTTTCATCATATGCTTACAACCTGTTTCTCTGTGAGCACTAGGCTCAGGTCTTTCAATACAAGATGCTGCTCTTAGAGTCATATCTACTCAACACTAGCCGAGTAAGGAACTATATCAAGATTGGTATAGATTGAGGTTAACAACAAGATTTTAATTGAACTTGACCAAACATCGAACATTGAATCTAATTGCTATAAATCTAGTCTTTATCTAATGCAGCACCAGCTAATAAATGATGAACATAGCTGAAAACAGAGTTTCTACGACAGGTACCTGTCACAGGCACAGGTGACAGGTCCTGTCAAAAGATCACCTGTCACAAGCTGCAACCTGTTAAAATGCCAACTGTTGACAGATCTTTCACAGATCTGTTACAGATTTGCAAATCTATGACAGATCTGTCAACATGTGGTCTGTTAACATGTGACCTGTCAGACAGGTGGGCTGTTTTTGTTGACCTGTGATAGATTGCAACTCTGGCTGGAAACGAAGTTCTGAAATTTAAGTCTATAACTCCACAAGTTACATCTCCCTGTAAATTAAAATAATGAAAAATAATTGAATATTTTTGACTCGCTGTTTTTATTTCTTATTTTTTTCCTCATTCTTTCATTCACAAAAAACAGAAAAATTATTTTAAATGAACAACGATACAAAAGAGAAATAACAAAACAATTTTTTTATCTTTCCCATTCATAAAGTCTCTCAAAAATTACTCCACTCTTGGATTTTGTAATCATTTGGAAGAAATGAAGATTTTATAATACAAATTAATATAAAAATATTTTGACACCACATCAACAAATGAGGAAGATGTGCTTAAACACACTTTCTCGTTAATTTTAGTTTTCCTCAACACTACGGTAAGAATAAATGCATGAAGGAAGTATGGAAAAATTATTTTTTTTTTTCAATAAATGACTACCTGATTTGATAAGCATGAAGAACAAGTGTATTTACAAAAGTACAAAAAAATGTGTGAGTATTAGCCAGTAAATGATGATAGGATAGATTGTAGGCGAGATCTTAAACTTAACGACTATATTTTTTTTTTTTTGTTATTTTTTTCTCCGTTCAGCGTTCATGAATTTCGTTGCGATTTATCACCTAATAATGCATTTGATAGACATTCTCCAAAATAACTTATTGAACGCTCTTCTTTAGGCTGAAATCCTTTAAAATCCTAATTTAGCTAATAATCGTTTCTTGTATAATTTTAATTTTTTTTTTTTGGTGACTGCTCATCTTCAGTCCCATCCATGGCCATGACTTTCAGTTGGTACCCAAACCTTCTCCCACACTGGCTTCCAGATTTTCTTCCAGACTGGTACTTTTCTGTAATTTAAAAGAGAATTGTAGATTGTGTTAATAAGGTTGAGTCTGAATTGTTTTGTGTCTCAAGCGACAAGTGAATCTTTAAGACATCTTTGAGATCTTTGAACTGGAAAATATGCTGGAATGTTTAGACAATCTTAAACAACTTCACAATTCAGTCTAGTTACACTAGAATCAGTCACACTTGGTCTATCAACCAAAGGAACAAGAAAAAATTCCAAGTCGTTCCAAAAAAAGACTTCAAATTAATTAATTCAATTCCATTCACTTAACAAACTAGTCTCGGATGTCATGACTGGTTAACAATCTATTTCAGGACCACAAAAGATTATCAAATTGTCAAATTTCACTTACTTCTCTACCCAGGCAGGTACTTTTTCTTCTTTGACTTCATCTTTCCATACTAATTTCTTCTCTGTTGCCCATTCTTGCTTCTTCTCGGTTCTCCAGATTTGGATCTTTTCTTCCTTCCATACTTCTGTTAATGGCAATAAAATAGAGAAATTATTAATTAGTCTGAGATCCAACTGGAAGTAATTTGCGGCTATGACCAAAATCTCAAATTCGAATGGTTGAATTCGATGGCATTTAGCAAGTCTTTAAATGATCAGCATAAAAGTATAAAAATTGAATTTCTGCACATTAAACCTGCAAATCATATAATTGCAGACCTATCCTAAAATCTTATTTCCTCATTAAATGATTTCTCATTAAATTTAATTGCATTAATTTTAAAATTATCGTCATTAGCAGCTCATTAAGCTTTAAAAGCTTCTTTAACTACCCTCAACGGATACACATATTTCCATTTCCAATATTATCAAGAACTCTTCAAAAAGCTTTGAAGGTTGCTATAAAAAGTGTGTTTTTAATGATTGCCAAAATGCCGTCAATTAAGCTATTGAGAAACATTTTTAATTCAATTAATTTTACATCATCTCTTCTTTTTATACTGCTCAGGTATTTTAGGTTTCCTATTGCTCTTGTCATTGTGTTTTATGTGACAAATGAAGCAACAATGTCATTTTTCATTGATCATAGCCTAATTTATGATTGAATCACATGTTAATTGATGACTTTTGTATGGGACAAAATAATAGAGTAGTTTGCGGATTAGCAATCGATGATTGTGACTAATATGGGCAATAAAATCCGATTCTCACCTGTCTTTTGCTTGACCCAGACTTGTTTCTTCACTTGCTTCCATACTTGGACCCATTCGTCTTTCCATTCAAGTTTCTGTGGATTAGGAATTGAGTTTTGAGTTAGAAAAGGTTTTGGAAGTGCTGGATGTCAAAGTAAGATTCCATGAAGCAAGGTCATGCATGAATTGACCCAGAACTGCATGATCCAGAATCATAAAACTAACCTTTTCTGTTTTCCATTCTTGTTTCTTCTCTGTCTTGTAGTTCAATTTCTTCTCCTGTTTCCAGTCCAATTTCTTGTCTTTCTTCCATTCTTGTACCTTCTTAATCTCAAAATCTTGTACTTTCTCAACTACCCAATCTTGGACCTTTTCGACCTTCCAGTCTTGAACTTTTTCTGTGACATATTCTTGCTTCTTTTCAGTTCTGAATGCTTCAACTTGCTTAGTTTTCCAGATTTTCTTCCATTGTGGCTTCCAGATCATCTTTTTCCTCCATACATCATGTGCTGTATATTCATTTCCTTGTTGATCTTTGCCAAGATATTTCTCACCGGGAACGGCTTCTTTTACCCATGCTGGTACCCAAATTTGCTTCCAATCTTCAACCTTTTGATTAAATAAGTTTGAGGAAATTAAAGATTTATGTAATTTTGATTGTGTGACTGTATGTCATACCTGAACATCTTTCCAATAAGGTACTTGAACCTTTGATGATGATGTAAATGAAGAAAATTATTGTAATTATTATTACCTAATGCTGAATATACTATAAACCGTCTCATACCTCCTTCCAAATTGGTTTTCTATTCAAATGCAAAGAAGAAGACATTCATGCGTAAAAATGGGTTTTGTGTCTATAATAATTGTTGTGTTATACTTACTGTACTTCACGCCAAATTGGCACTTTCACCTTCAGTTTCGTAAAGCAAATGACATGAAAGAAGAGTAAAAGAAAAAGTGATGCAATATCTATTAGAAGATCGTTCTACATTTATGGTCAATTTTAAGCTATTTTTACCTCTTTCCATACTGCTTTCTTCTGTTCGCGCCACACTGGAACTTTCACCTATTTTAGTTCGAAGTAAATTAAATGAAATCATATTTTATGATAAATTGATACAATTGTGCAACGATGTGGTCATTAATTGTGGACACAACCGAGCTTTACAACTTTTTTGTGGCTGTCAGGAGGTTCTTCGTGTCTTGTTTATATGACCACTAATTGTCAGAGCTCGAATGAATTCAAGACGATTTCGAGCTCTGCTTTTGGTCAACATTAGCGAGTCTGAAGCTTGAATGTCGGGTTTGTTTATGATTTTATTAAGTTTTGTGGTTATTCTTTGTCTGCAAGCTGAATTTACATTAATGCAGTCCGTAGGTGTCAAACCAGGAAGAAAGAGAAGTCAAGTCATTCAGTCTTATGTACGACACATTATGTTGTAACCAACTTATAGCTTAAAATATGTAACAAGTCTATTTTCATCCAAACAAAAGCTCAACAGACTCAATCTTCATTCAACAGCCTAAACAAAGCTACAATCCATAAATTCAAAAAAAAAATTACGACAACTGTGCATTAATATCAGAAATTGTTTCACCCAAAAGAATTTTCACTTTCAGTTCCAACAAATTAGAAATTTTGGAAAACTCGTCCATTGTCCACCAAAAACTGCATTCAGTTCAATGCATTTCAAAATACGATCAATCAACGAAGACAATTGATTGAAATTAATAATTTTTAATGTGTTTGGTAACCAGATTATAATAGTTTTATGTATGTTGATCCTCTTGTTAGAGTCGCCACATTGAGGCATATTAATCAACATGGAAAATTCAATGTCGATGTATTTAAATGTCTTGGATTATAATTAAATGTTAGAAATAAGATGATAAGTATGAGGAACACAGATGTTAGATGAGCTTGTTATGGATGGTGATAAATTGATTGGAATTTATGGGTAATGAGGTTGTAGGCTTGAACTGATTACAGATTAGGAAGTGTGAAATGATATTGGGATGTTTGATGACGTAACTGAGGCATGATTAGATTTGAATCTGATCTTAAACAGTTACTATAGCCATGAATTCAGAATTAAATGATCTTGACACATAAACTGTCAACTATATCACATTAATGACTACCTTTATACATTTTTATAATCTTCAGTAATCTACAACAAATCTTCAAAATCAATTGAAGGGTCTAGTCCAAATGTCAGACCCCTTAATGTCCATAGTATTCAATTCCAATCAATTGAAATCATTTCTGGTAAATCTAATAATAAGTAAAAATAGATTTAATCCCCTAGACAACAAAGTTTCCTCAAAACTGAGTTACTAAATCTTCTCAAAAGCTAATTTTATTGAAATTAGATGAAGGCCGAAAAGCTACAAAAGAAGCTTAGAATTTATGTTAAGCATATAATCATATGCAGAATGTTAATGACTAGATCAACAAAAAATAAATATTAAGTATTTGAAGAACATTAGTCATAATGTAGCTACACTTAATGAATAGATGTAGCATCACTTAATGTGTCCATAATTTAATAATCTGTTACTGCTTCTTTTGTAATTCAAAGCGAGGCGGCAGAATTCTCAATTTTTATGCTAATGTCTTCTTTTGGAACATGACAGAAGCGACAATAGATTCATACTTAACATTTTTCATGCTTTTCTTTGGAAGTTGTCTTCAATTTTTCATAAATAATTGGGAATTTGGCAATTGACTTTCAATTAGCTTGGCCTTACTTAATGCTGATAATTGATTTTGTCGCTTATGGGGTCGTTCACTTATGACGTCATCGATTGGAGGAGATTCAAATGGTCCAGGAGCTTTAGGGATTAATATACATTTTTGAAAGATATCACTTATTGGAAGTATCATAATTTTGCAAAGAAAATTATTTTGGGTGGCCCGGAACTGTTCAATTTCTGCAATTTTTTGATTATCAAAATTAAAGTGAAATTCAGTCACTGAATGAGAGACTCTAGATACACATTATAGCATTTTTTTCAGAAAATCAATCACAACCTGTCATGATGAAGATCATCGCACAATTATCATTTGACAAAATCAAGCACTTTCGCTTTCATTACGTTCGCACATTGTAGATCAATTATCAGCAATATACAGCTATTAAACCATTTCTAAATTCGTCAAAATACACTTATGTCTTGTGTCCGTCAGCTGTAAAAGAAATTAAATCATCTTCTTACTTCTTTCCATACTGGAACATCAACTTCTGTCCATACGGGTACATTAACAGAAGTCCAATAAGGCACTTGAATCTGTGAAATGAGAGAAAATTAAGGGATATTCATTAAATGTTATATAATGGATGTAAGATCAATGGATTGGCTAATGCAGATGATATGGATCTGTGGATTGTAATTTTGACCATAAATGAGGTGTTTGGTAATTTTCATGCCTTAAAAGGATTGTGAATAATTGAAAAATTGATGTTTTGAGATTTGTGCTTTATGAGTTGCTTTACTTTTTCGTGTTGATGGATTTCTGACTTAATTTAACAATTATCAAAGTTTTGTCTATCAAGGTTCCCGATCAGCATATGATTTAATATTGTCAACATAGTGTATAAGTGGACAGAATGGATATAACAGCTTACTCGCTACGATGAAAGTTTTTTAACGTGTGCTGAGTGGAATTTCCTCCATTACTATTCCTTTAGACATAAGTTATGCAAAAAAAAATCTCAATTCTTCCTTATAGCACATCCATTAAGGTCTAAAATGCCACAATACCTCAAAAATATTCAAATTTTCCACAACAATCCACAAAATGCCAAGTGTAATTTGAAATCATTTCATCGTTAATGACTTTAGACATAAATTAGACTATAACTTCATTACAGCTACGTACCTCTTTCCACACGGCTACTTGATGGGGAACCCAAATCTGTGCGTGTACATAAAAAATTTCTATTATTTCCATTCTCACATTTACATTTAATTCAATTCATTTTTTTATGTATGGATTTCACTGTTTCTGGTTTTCTTACCGGCTTAGTGATCTTTTTCCAGTCAGCAACCTATTTTAAGTAATTAAATTGTATTTGATGTTTATTAGAAATTCATGATGAACAGTACCACGGGAAATAATCATAATATCTGCAAGAAATTAATCTTGGCATTGAACTATTTACCTTCTCCTCTTTCCATGCTGGAATTTCCTTCTCGATCTACATTTTTTGAGGAAATAGAAGTAAAATAGCATTGAAGCTTAACTAGATTAATAAGATATTTGATGTCAAACTTACAACATGTGGTTTCTTGATCACTTTCCAATCGGGTACTTTGACTTCGCGCCAAATTGGAACTTCAATAGTTTTCCAAACTGGTACTTGGACCTTTTTGTGCTCAGTTTTCCATATTTCCTGTTATTTTGAATAAATTTTACATTATTGAATAGTTTTGACAATTCATTGAGTATTTAATTCGATTATTGAGTGCAGATAAGCAGATAGTTTAGTTTATAAGTCAAGTTACATGATCTGACCATGATAGGCTTAATGTATCATGTATCACTTATCTAAATGAAGGAAATCGCATTGACGTGCTAACATGTTGTTGTTCATGGATGCTTCCGAAGTTCTTTATGAACTCAAAACGAAACATGAATCCCAGACAATGCTATTTTTTCTCACAGATCAAATTCCACAATATTGATACTTCTGCATCACATTAAAGATTTAAAAAATGCATGCAGCAAGTAATTAAATAAAAATTATAACACTCTAAGCCCTCATTTGAAACATAATCACACCTAAACAAACAGCAATTGCATAATAAATATTTTTTATTGCACTTTTTCCCAGGCAGTCACATGCTCTTCATTAAAATATCATGGTCGCTTACCCACTGCTTCAATTAAAATTAATTCACTCAATTTTCACTTTCATTTTTTTTGTGTTTATTTCTTTTTCCGTCACGCACCTGTTTTTCGACTTTAAAGTCCTTCACCCATTCTTCCTTCCACACAAGCTTTTTCTGCCACACTCCTTTCGGTTGATGATCTAAACTTTTCTTCCAAAATGTTGGATCACAAATGACTACATTTAATGTGACAAATATAGTCTGTAAAGTTGCAACATCAAGCACGTGTAATTGTTGTTGATGAGATCACAATTTACAATTAAAATATGCGGGTTGATTATGATGAGGTGAAAAGAGAGAAATAGAATAAATTAGTAATTTTTGTTAAAAAGCTAAGACTCGTTGAGTACAATTGAAAGTGAAATATGTAAGCACATGGTTTCACAGTTTGATGTAAATGTTGTTGCTTTTGGATGAATAATTTTTGGGGAATTTGTGATGAGATTGACCCTTTGGTTGATTTTTGGTAGATTTTATTAGAGTTTTGTTGAGATTCGAACTAAGGTTTGTATGAAGAACTAGGTTAAAATGAGATCTAAGACTTTGGTTAAGGAATGAACTGAAGTCACTTTAATATGATCGATCGCGGTTCATTTGGTTAACAGAAATCTAAAGCAGTTCTACAGACATTTTATCAGTGCTAAGAATCATTTATTGGACCTTTGTCAGTTCTTCAAAGTTCGTAAGGGTATAGGAACCTGATTGTCCATATAATCTATTGTACCAGCAACAAAAATCTATTGATTCTTAAGTTTTCACAATTTTGCACATAATCTCCACAAGGGTTCAATCATCAAAATCTCCATCTCATGCCTCTTTTCCTCCCAACTGTCTTCCAACTTCCTCATCACGAAATATTTGCAACACAAACATAAAGTTCAACACAAAATGTGTCTGATAGAGAAGATCTATGCGGCGTTAAAAGGCATAAAAATTAATAGAGCGCAAGCAACTGTTTTTTTTGGTATTCCAAAATAGAAACAATAACAACATAGCATAGCTCATCATATGTGTAGATTTACATTTCAAAATATCATAAAAAGATTTATTCACTCGTCGTTTCTAATTATTTCTTTTGTATCTTGTTGCCATTTCACTTAAAATTTTTAATTTTTTTACTTCTCGGCGAGAAAAATTGAAGAAAACGAAAAATTTCACTGGCATGGTTTAAGGTCAGGGTTTATAAATAACTTTAAATCACATTAAAGGCATTTTTCGTTCATCAAATTAATAAATTATGCTTCAGCTTTTATTATCATTTCCAATTTTCTTTTCGTACTTTTAAATGATTTTTTTCACTTCTTTGATTTTGTTGTAAACTGTTTCAGCATTTAGATTAGGATTTCTAATTTAATTTTGGTGATTTTATTTTTGATAAATGATTTTATTGATCGATGATCTTCAATTCAATTTGATGAGATTTATGTTGTGTATGAAATTGAAAGGCAGTCAGTGAGATTGAAGATTGGATTCAATTTGTGTTGTTTTTGGCGGGAATACTTTATGATCAACATTGTTCACAAAATTGAGTTTCAAAATTGCTTAATTTTGAGAACTTAGTTACTAAACTTAACCGAAGGTTTAATAACACTAAGAGTTGATAATTTTCAAGCAATAAATAAATAGAACTAGCTTAAAGTGCCATAAATCTGAATTGACTTAAATCGTAAGAATTAAGTTTTTAAGAGCTGTTTTATAATTTTTCAAAAGAACACTAAATTTGAGTCCTAATTTTTCAGACAGACTGCATATCAATCACTTTGATGCCACAAGCTAATCTTGTCATTGGAATCCTCATTAAAACCACTAAAACGAATTTGTCTCAAAATCCTCGACAGATTGAACTTTTTTGTTTGTATTTTAACGAGCTTTAAAGAATTTTTGAAGATATCCTTAAACATATTTCTGACTTTTCAGTATGTTTGGCTGGTATATACATCATGTCCTTATAACTGATCAAAATTTATAATTATTCACACTAAATTTTAAAACACAGCCAAACTTCTTGACATTTTGAAAGTTCCAAATACATGCCATAGTCTTTTTGATTCTCATGTTTCTAATTCCAGTAAATTTTCATCACATAATCCAGATTTTTGATTTTATAGTCCATTGCTTGCATAATTTATATCCACTGAGATATTCAACTGTCTTTTTCAATTCCAGAATCCACATTTCACTTTCAATTGATTATTTCTTTTCATTTCAATTGTCTTTTTCACAATAAAGTTATTTTTTTATGCCATAAAATTAAGAATTTGTACTAACCAAAACTGTTAACGACCTCATATTCTACGGTCGGGATATTCACTTATCGAAAACAAAAAAGGATCAACACTTAGCTACACAAAATAAATTTAAGTTACGGAAAATTGCCTCAAAAAAGAATCACTTGATGTGACCGCGTTGGTCGTACGACTGTCAATGGGTGCTCGCTGTACAAACAGTTTTATACCAAAAAACAACAACCAAACAATTTTTTTTTTATTATTATTTATCTGTAAAACTGAGAGCGTTACTTATATTTTTCTTTTTCTTTTTTTTTCAGCTACTCGCTCTTGGTTTGACTGTTTCTTTTCTTTTTCATTTCGTGGCGCGCGCTATTCGCTTTACGGCATTTAAAGTATTTTTCTTTCATACTCACTCTTAAAGTACAGTACTCGAATATGAATATATTCCTAAAGATGGTTAGAAGATGCATGTTTTGAGTTGCTGAAGCGCATTTGCTTGAAGATTGAACAAGAATAGTACAAAATAATGCTCAGTAAGTCGATTTAGTCTCCAGACTTGAACCATCAAGCAGATGAATCTGTTCTGAATCAGCGTTTATTTATTCAGCAAGGAACATGGCAACAATGTTGACTTTGTGTGGATTGAGTTCATTAAAGAGTTCCTAGAACTAAAATTATAAGTAAACATTAGAGATTGTTAATCCACAGGTACATGAGAGTCTTTGTATCTCAAGTTAATCTACTATCAGTTGCCTGCAATCCATTAAAAAAATCATATCCAGACAATATGTCCAAAATAACCACAATCAACAGATCTATACAAAAACTATGCTTAATAAGTACCAACAGAGTTTTCCATACTCTTCACTTACTTCTTTCTTTTTCGGTGAGCAAAGAGCAAATTTTTGCGCGCGAGAGAGTCTCGGGAAATGGATGGTACGCGCAACGGGTCCTCCCCACTTTAGATTTTAATTTAATATGCAATAATCACGTTCCTTCTTCAATTTCCCATATAAAACTACAATTACTTTTCATTTCTTGCACTGCACATGTCATTTTCATGTTCTTTCCATTTTCCATTACTTCACATTCGCATAAATTTTGCATCAGATGCATCAACTGATTTACTGTATCTGCCTGCATTTTAGATCAGTTATGCAATAATAATAATAATAATATGATCGAACTTATCAAGGATATTTAGCTGCAAAGAAAAAAAGAAGTAAACAGCAAAACTGCAAGAGAAAATTATGTAATATCTTCTGTATGTACAAAATACAGCAACAGAATTCGAATGTACGGCTGTGGATGGCAAAAACAAAATAATGCTATGTGTGTTATTTCCTCCTATGCAAATTCAATAGCAGCAAGACTGCATTTCGCGAAACTGTGTTAAATTGTTTTTGTGGATTTTTATCTCCGTCATTTCTCTTCCATTGCCTGTTGTTGCTGTATGCAATTATATTGGATATATGAGACTTTTGGTGTATGCAGTTTAGATGAAAATAAAAGTTGCTGCTGTATACTTTAATAAGACACAGAAATGAATGAAGAAGCAAATTAAAGTGCATGATGAATCTCGGATGGAAAGGAGTTGAATTGTTTGTGGTTTGTTGGGTTTTGTTGTCGTGTTGAAGATGAGAAGAAATTTTTACTTTCAATGGTAAGGTCTAAGACAAGTCTGCAGAAGGTGAACTGTTGCATTTGAATTCTTATGTAAGAATTGATGAAGCTTTGGAATTTCTAGTTAAATGTCGTCATAATTTGATGGTTAAAGGCTTGAAATACAGCATTTAATAAATGGATTAAGGAATAGAAAGCAAAAATAGAAGGAATTCTTAATAAGGCTCAGTAAACATTTATTTTCAATTTTTAAACAAAACAAAGTCTTTTAAAAAATCTCAAAAAATTCCAAATTGCAAACCAAATCAGGTAATAATCAAGAATCGGAAACGACGGATGATAAATCGCAAGTCCTTCTGTTGAATATTAACTGCGTTCATTCCTGTCTCGACTGTTGTTTCTGTCTGTCGAAATACTAAAGTCTTTCAAATTATTCTTTCTAGCGTCAGTAGAGCTGATTAAAAAGATGATAAATACAATCAGTCACATCTTTTATTCATCTCACATTCTTCATCGCATACCAGAAATTCCAAAAAAAAGCTTCAAGATTTTTTCAAAGTCAATCGGCTTAAATAAATGAGCGAATTTGCAATAACCGGTGAGTTAACATGTAGTTTGTTGTCTTTATAATTTATTTATATCATTCGATTTGGTTTTAATCGGGTTGTACAATGTTTTGAGCTTTAACAACTTCCAGCTGATTTGTAAAGACAAATTTTTTTGATTTTTAAAGTTTCATACTTTCAAAAAATCTCATAAAAGCAGGGAATGTTATGCAAAGGATGGTTTCGGCTCCTTTTTGGTATATTTTTATGGATTTAGTTCCAGTGTTGCATCGATGAGCCGTGAAGGCAATCTAAAATTAATCAATATTCCATTCACTCAACTCTCATCAAAAACTTCCAAAATTTGCTTGATAAATGCACAAAAAGCCTCACAATTGGATCTCTTCAAATACCACACAAGCCAAAAAGTTTGCAAAAAAAATTTCAATTACACGAGTAATTTCCAATAATTCCAATTTTAATATTTACCATTCCTAATCATCCATTGCCATACCATTTACATTTCAATCTCATTTAACAACCTGTTTACAGTAAATTTTCAACTCGATTATTTCATAATAATCTCGAAAGTCGGAATGCTGTTGATGCAAGCTTACATTATTTTTTTTATCAGCCTTATACGAAAAAAAAATAATATTAAATAAAATAAAGTTGTAGGATTTATTAGCATCGCACATTTTATTTTTGTGCTGCTCATATGATGCATGTGTGCTGAAGCGGCTTAGTGGCGTAGTTGGCAAGTGTTGTAGGACTTCTTTTGTTGAGAGTTTGGTCTAGCCTTTATCAAGTAATATTACTAAAAGGCAAACCTTCTAGTCATGCCTTGGTTAGGTTGAAAACTTCCATCAGTGTATTCCTAAACGTCACTTAGAGACGACCCCTTATATCTATTACTTACATGATGCATACAAAAAACAATTAGACATATCTGTGCAATTTATTTACCAAAATAAAAATGTTTGCTGGTTAGAAGAATAAAGTCATAAATTATTCAAAGAAAATTGTGAGCAAGGCTGACCATTAGCAAGCCTGAAAAGAAACACAACAAAGAAAAAATTCACATCACGATGGGTGTTCATGTGCATAAAAATTATGTCAGTTGTGTGTTGTTTACGTTTGTGCATGAATTCCAGCAAATTCTTAGTCGAAATGAATGAAAGTAAAGGCAGTGGAAATGAAAATAAAAGTTGCATGACTTTTGCGGAACTTAATATTTTGTGCAACTGCAGTTATATGTGCGCAAAAAAAATAAATATGTTGTTCATTAGTCGAAACACAAAAAATATGTATTAACATATATAAATATGAATAATATAGGAAATTATTAATTTGTCGCTTCCCTTACAACACATGTTGCGCGCATCAAATTGCATTTATTTCAATTACGCACAAAAAAAAATCTGTTATCTCATCCTCGTCCATTCACAAATAATATTTAATAAGCTACGGTATAATTGAAAAAAATCATTTGTCAGTCTTTTGAGGTAGGTTGAATGTCTGTGGCGCATCTCTGACTTTATTAAACGAAGATTTTTTTGTAAAGTTCAATGGAATCTTCATGGCTCACTTCTATTCAGAAGTGGAAGTAATAAATTTTTTGAGCATTTAATCCAATTCTGTGATGATTTATTTTGATATCTTTATTTGCAGTCTATTTTTTGAGAATTTATGTATCCTAAATGTGTAAAATATGAAGAATTATTGCTTTTAATAAGGTATTAGCTGGTATGGGCTATAAATGCAACGGCTGTCTCAGCAAGTGCTATGAGGATTTGTATGTTAATTTGTATCTCAGAGACAAGGTCTGAAAAGGTTTTGAAGGGGATTGAACTTTTTATTAGGCTCTTATATAATGGTAGCCAGAGAGATTATGGCGGCTTTAGGACTACTCTTGTCACCACTTTGCTTCACTCTTAAGCTAAACTATCACCATTTAAATCACATCATAGACAAACCTTCATCCACAATCACTCATTTCTCACAAAATCAAAGCTAAAATCAAGAAAATAACTTGATTAATATATCATCATCATTTATCCATTCCTCATCGACACAGTCCGTTATTTTTTTTATGATTTTTATGATATTGAAATGATTATTGCCATTATCATCCTCATGATCAGCGCTTGAAATGAAAGTAAAAATTCAAATGAGAAAAAAATTCATTACAATTTGATTAGCTGCGATAAATATTGGGCATCATGAGCGTCTGCAATGGCCTCAAGACATTTAATTTTACTACAAACTAAAGACTATTACAATAATGGATGTGAGTGAGGAACAAAAAATAAGTTGTACAAACGAGCAAGTAGCATAATTTTTTCGTTAATTTCACGACCTATTATGAAATCTGCCTATGTGTACTTGCAGACTGTCTGTTTTTTTGCGTTAATAGATGATTGAGGAAAAGGAAAATGAGAGAAGATGACAAAAAGTGACATAATTCTCGAGACCGACGAAAAGTTTATAAACTGCAAGTTACGCAGCTTGCGATGCTAATCTTGAATAAAAACGAACTAAATTTCCCATGGAATCATCTTCGTCATCACTGCTCATAAAGCATAACTCATCTGCGATGATTGTTTGCCATATTTTTTTGTGACTTGTATAATTTCAATTTTCATTCCTACCTTTTTCCTCATCGTAGACATTGTTTATCATTATGTGTGTCACTGTATCACGACTTATTTAACGCAGCAGTAAGAAGTAAAATGTCATGTGGGAAAAATGAACACTTTGCGTGACGATGTAATTTGTAAGTTGTTATCATCCACCTAGCTAATAATACAAGTCAATTAAATGCTCATTCAATTGCACCATTATTATTGGACTGTTACAAAATTTAATGCTTGTTGGACACTTGTTATTATTTTCATTGATTACAAATTTTGTAAGGCACGGGAGCTTGTTAAGCATAAAGTTTGTGAAGTAATGTTGAAAACATGTAATGTGTTGCTTGGATCCTTATCATAGCGGACAACACTTTTTGAAAT